CACTTCCTACTGAAACTGCAGAACATCAAGGATAAAGAGAAAAACATTAAAGCCATCAAGAGAAAAGACAAAAGAGGAAGAGCAATTGGTCTCAGAGATTTCTAACCAGCAATAATAACTGATATCAGAAGAGAATGAAATAACATCATCGTACAACTGAGGGACAACAGCTGTCAACCTAAAATTCTATCCCCAGCAAAACTATCATTTACAAATTTCAAAACAAAAATGTTTGCTGATAGACAAAAATATTGAAAATTCACTACCCCTGGAGTTCTTTACAGCAGGGGTTGGCAAACCACAGCCCACCGGCCAGCTCTGGCCCACCTGCTGTTTTTGTAAATGAAGTTGAATGGAACACACCACACCTGTTCATGTGCATGTTGTCTGTGGCTGCTTTGCATCACCAGGGCACGGTGGTTCCAATAGTGCTGCTTTGCATCACCAGGGCACGGTGCTGTATGGCCCACAAAGCCAAAAATATTTACTATTTACAAAAATATTAAAACATCTAATAGTAAAATATGTACTATTTACAGAAAAATTTTACTAAGCCTTGCTCTACAGGACTCAATATTTACATGTGTATCTGTTCAGTCAACATGTATTGGTAAACATCCACTGTGTTTGTGCCAGACCCAACACCCAATGAGATGGAGAATGTCAGGTTCGGAGCCCTGGAAGTTGAGCCTTTGTGAGGGCTCAGCTAGTGACTGCCCCTCTTTTCTGTGAGAGGAGGATACTGGGAAGAACGTTGGGAGGTGCAGTCTAGGGTTTGTCTAAAAACAGCAAAACAGACAAGCTATCTCAACATAGACAAGTCAGCCCCCCGCCTTGGATTCTCATCTGCTTCAGACATTGAGCTTGTTTGAGCCCTGCCCATATCAGGTATGATGAGATGGTTCAAAGGTCACAGGGTTGGCTTTGGTTCCTTGTGTCCTGACCATGGTCATAGATTCCCGATGGCTCTCACTTTCAGTCCATATCTGCCCTCTCCCCACCATGCCCTGCCTCCCACCCACTGCTGCTGGGATCCTGAACTCCTTGGCTTTCCCAGCACAGTGCCCTGCTCCAAACCTCTGCTCAGGCTCCTCCCTTTACCTGGGATATCCTTGGCTTGGCTGAGTCTTACTCCAAGAAGTTTTCCTCCCATCCCCAGACCAGTCCAACCCTCTTCTTCTTGGCATAACTCCATTCCACATCATCATATATTGAATTATAACACATCTATTAAGTGCTTTCTATTTGCAGGGCAGTGTGCTTATCTTACCTCTGTGTCCAGATGGGCTTTTTCCTCCACCTCCACCCCCTTTCTGGGTCTGGTATACATCCAGAACTAGGAGAACCAAAGGGGGCACTTGCTATGCAGTTCAAAGTGGAAGAGGAGGGAGAGACCCTTTGTCATGAATATCCCTTCATGAGACAAGTAAAAAGGAAGCCTATGAAAGTAAAAAGCAAGCCCTGCACACGGTGTTGAAGGCTGAGCCAGCACTGGGAGCCAGACTTGATCCTGGCAGTTCTTGCTAATCATAAAGATAAACAGGAGTTTACATAAGGGAGCTTCATGATGGAGGTCAGTTCAAATAAAGATGGAGGAAGAGAAGGGAGATATGAAGAGGAAAGGAAAAGGGAGAAGGCAGAGAAGGAAGGTGGCAGTGTCTACGGGATACCTTCCCTGTGCCATGGGATTCTTTTTCCCTACCACGAATCTCTAATATCTCTGCCTCTTTCAAGTATCAGCCCATCTCTCGTCATTTACCCAATACATCGTTCTGGAATGCTGGATGAATGACACATGCCTAGCAGAAGGGTGGTTGTATTCATTCATTCTGGCCCCTGACAGTTTCTAATTCATACAGTTTGCCTCCACTAAATACCACCAAGATCTCAACAATTCTGAGTATTCCTGCCAGCAAAAAAAGAAAGAAAAAGGAAACTGCATATTCAGTGGCAGAAGGACCCCAATGGATTTATAATGGTCTGAACAACAGGTAAATTGATTTGCTTAAGCTTTGAGATACTTAAGAACTCACGTAAGAATTTTGGGATTTAGAGAACATACGCCTTCTGGGAGAAGAACAACTTAACTATCCTGATGATTTCTATAAATCAAATTCCATTACTTTGAGGTATACTCTAACTTCAAAGATGTGCTTCCACGAGAAACTCTTCGTTTAGAAGAAAAGGAGCTGGTAACGAGTTCAGGGTAAAGCTTGAAGAGCTGAAGAGCTGACTGGACCTCTCGATGGAACCACGAGGTGGGCGGTGCCAGTGTCACACACATTTTACAAGTGAAGAAACAGGCTGAGAGGGTTTAAGTCTGGTCCCCCACAGGTAGTTGGTGGCAAAGCCGGGTTTCCAGACCCAACAGCCCTTCTTGCTGGCTTCATCGGAAGGCAACCTGGGCAGGTGAAAGGGGCTGTGCACTCAGAAGGGCCCAGCTTGGTTTAATGCTCAGCTGTTGCCATCTTGAAATTCTTGGCCTTTCCGAGTCAGGGGCCTGCAGTTTCTGCAGCCGGTCCTCCTCACAACTGCATGGACTGCCCTCTGTTCCCCCACCCAGATCTGAGAAGCCCGCCACGTCTGGGACTCGGAGCTCTCCCAGCTCCTGGAATTCCTTGACTGTCCTCCTGGGCTCTGGGCCTCCACAGAGCTCAAAGGGCTGCCAGACACCAGGCTTGTTAGAGCCTCCCTTGAACACCAGCAGCTCCTGCTACGTGCTACCTACCACACATCCTGGGGAAAAAATCAGTGCCCAACTCTCTGTTCATCGAAGTCAAAAGTCTCTAAAACGGGTTTATCTAAAACAAGAGGCTCTTGGGTGTTCTCAGATTAGACAGTGATCACACCTACTCAGAATACTGGATCTCTCTCTGCTCTTTAGCTGGGTCTCTGTCTTTGGTCAATTCCCTGCTGTCTCTCATGGTCTCCAATTCTTGAAAGGGGGAGGGGAGAAAGGAGGAAGGGAAGAGAGAGAAAATAAAGCGAACCCTACTCATTCCTAATGTCCCCAGCCCCCTATAGATGTCTTGTAAGTTTTAAAAGCGTAAACATGTTGCAATTGTGGTCACTGCTGGCTACTAATTCTTCAGAACTCTGAGCAGCAAGTCACGTGTTCTCTCCCTGGACTCCTGCTGTGGCACTGGCACTGCTGTCTCCTCCCGGGACCCAAGAGAAAGCTCTGCATTGCTCTGAAGGTGCGGTGGTGCCAGGCAAAGGAGCCAGCTCTCTCCCCAGACATCTCTTCCCCACTGCCTTGGATGTTTTATCTTCTTCGGATGGTCCCCAAACCCCGCTCCTTCCTTAATATTCAAGCAGGCCCTCATCTTGCTCCATAATTGACTTTAGGTGGATTCTACTTCCCCAACCGTCATGCCTTCCCATCCTCTCCAGAGTTCCATGAAAAGTTGAAGTGTACCCATGCATATCACAACAGTGAGGAAAAACCCACAAATCAGAGCAAACTTTTAGATTTTTTTTATTATGCATTTGACAGTTAGCATTTTCTGAGTGTTTGAACAATGAATGAATTTCTCGCCGAGAAATCATCTTGCCGAAGTGCCAAACAGTGCATACATGCATTTTAAAAACGTAATTCAAGCTCTAAGGAATAGGAGTTTGGATCCACAACAGTTTAAAACATATATATATACACACACACAGTGACTTTACTTTTAACAGATCCACATAAAGGAGTTGAAGGAGAGAACAGTTTCACAATAAATAATCACTTCTCTAACTGTACAAAATCCTGCCAGCAAATCATTTTCATTTCCTCATGATAGATGTTCACTTTTATACCTGTAATAACTTATAAAATATCATAGAGAATTGAACATGTGGTCAAGACCAATGCTCTGTCACGCACCATCTTAAATTTCTCCATCTGGTGCCTGGACACACAAATGCCCATCTCACCTCTCTGCAGCCGGGTGGGGAGGTAGGCAGCCTCTCCCCGCAGAGAGGACTGTCCACAGCCTACTCAGGTTTCCACACACTTTCAGTAAACCCGGCACGGCAGTAAGAGTGCAGCTGAAAGAGATTTTGAACTATCAGGCTACTTACAATTCCCAGTTGTTGCCAATTACATAGATAAATAGGAATTTACATAATTTACAAAGAGTTGTGTTTGTGGCTTATTTTGAAGCTATTCCCCAAAGATCCACATTTATTCACAAAAACAAATATTCAACCTAATAGCCTTGAGCAGAGACTGTCTTTACAGCCAGCTTCCTGCAAACAAGGCCTGGGAACTCTATTGTGCCTCGGCCAGTGTCTGCAGAGGACACAAAAGGTCAGTCGATTGAACAAGAATGCACTCTACCTTACAAGCCTAGAGTGCAAGACCAGTAGATATTAGCTTTCTCCTTTTCTTATCACAAGCATCAAGGTTTCTTTCTTCATCATTGTCTTTTTTTTTTTTAGATTCATTCTTTTGGTAGGTACCAAGCACAGCTGAAAATTTCTCGGTCTAAACTCTATAGGCTTCGGCCCTGGCTCCCTTGTGCTCGGCAGCCTGCTCTAGGTCAGAATGTGAGAGTTGGCACTCCCCTGTGCTCGCAGGCATTTCGCGTCTAGCAGGAGACGGACATGTGTTTACATTTGCAAAGATTGAGCTTGGAGTCCACTTACTCTTCAAGACGAGTCATGTCGAAAGCCAGCAAGTGGCTTTCCAATTTGCCATGTCTCTCCAAAAACAATTTCCTGCATGAAACCAGAGCTGTGGGTGTCAGGCCCCAGGGCACATCTGGGATCATTTTACCTGTTAGGGAAACTAGGGTCATTTGGATTTGGGCATTCTTGGAGTAGGCGTATATTGTTAAGGGAGTGCTTTGTGTGGGTTTTCTGCCCCAGGCAAACTCTCTCCTTGTCCTTAAAGAAGTGGAAATTTGAACTGTGTAGAGCAATGACCAAAGCCTCCCAAGAAGAGGATGCTGTGGCCCATGCTCCTAAGGGGCTCCTTCCTGAAAGAGACAGCAAAGCAGGCAGGTAGGCGAGGGTGAGGTCCACCGCTGGGCAGAAGCACTGGTGCTGCAGGTCTAAAGCCTACTTGCTTTGTCTGTCCTTGACTTCAACCTATCTTGGGGAAAGGGGACAAAAGAAAAAAAGAGGTATGTTATGAAGAATAACTCTAGAAAGTGGAAAAGGGTGACTTCTTCCCGCTGCATCTCTGGCCTGTTCTCTGACTTGAACTGTATGTACCCGCTTGCCAGTGCTTCTTGGCAATGTCAGAGGCTGCCACCCGACCGAGAAGGTGTGAAAAGAATTACACCATCAGGCACGGCCGCCGGAGCCCTCCTGCAGCCTGGTCCCATCTTTGATTATCACCTGCTAGAGACAGTGGCGGCTTCCACTCTGAGAATGTGAATCTGGGAATTACTAACTCGAGTCTCCCAAGAAAGCAAGGACCATGGCTTCACAAAAGACTTTTTCTTCCCAAGTAAAGTTTCTTAACAGGAGCTTTCCATGGATCATAAAGACCAGGAGGAACTACCATTCCAGGTCCCAGTGGGATGCTTGCCCAGCAATCTCATCTTTTGAACGTGCGGCAGGATAATAATAACGAAAGCATCTGCATGCTTTTTCTGGGCAGGGCTCCACCGATGGCTGTTCCTTGAACACACCCCAGGACTTTTGCACTTACTGCCCCCTACCTGAATCCCCTTCCCTCACTCATCCCGACTTCCACCAGGTCTTTGTGCCAGCGTCACCCGGTAAGTGAGATAGCCCCTGTTCACCCAATCTCAAACTGCAACCACCCTAACACTTGCTCTCCCTTTTCCGTTCCCCTTCGCATGTCTCGCCTGGTATTTTATGAACCTGTTTGCTGTCTGCTTCCCCGACTGTTGAAACTTCATAAAAGAGATCCTTTGCCCTGTTCCCTGCTGTGCCCCCAACATCTAGAACAATGCCCAGCTCGTAGCAGGTACTCAACAAATCTTTGCTGAATAAATGCATAAGTGAATGAATAAATGATGCACTAGATAGATGGTTTTAATCACATCCCCGCCTCGCTGAGAGGAGTTTTGGTTTGAGGTGAGAAAGACAGAAAGAGGGAAAAATAACGAAGGGGCCAAGTGGGACCAGCTGGGGTCTGACTCACACTCTCCTGAGATCCCTCTCTGCCGCCTTGGCCCTCCTCCGCCCCCTCTATTTTTATTACAGATGCTGACAGATCCCTCTCCGGACTACTGAAAGCGATCTGCCATCAAGCTAGAAAGCCTCCTGTACACTGAGCGTGGCTTAATCTTCCCTTGATCAGTCCCTGCAGGAACCCAAGCCACCTCCACACTCTTATTATGAACATAAATTACTATCCCATTGCAGATGTGCCAGAGAGTCACTAATAACGATTTCTGACTGATAGAATGACAAATAAACCCAGTCTGGCCACAGGAAACGCTCAGGATCTCTCATATGAAAAAGACAAGTGGTTAAAAAAAATAATAAAGCGAACTGGGAAGGCTGGGGGACCCTGCTGCCAAGCTGTTGTAATTCACCTATGTCCAGAATCAGCGGACAAAAAGAAGAAATGGTCTTTTTTGGGTAGAGACCATATGTTGCTATGGAAGCAGAGGCAAAATGTGGGCCTGGGCATATCAGCCTGTGGGAACTCTGAGAAGTGGTGGTTGGCTGGCTTTGTCCAGGCCCCGTGAAACCCAGACTGGACATCCCTGCCCTGGATCTGGGAGAGACTCAAGAGTTGGCTCTTCAGACGTGGAGCAGCTGGTCAGGGCCAGCGAGATGACAGTGGCTGTCCCCAGCTTCTGCCTACTCTGCCCCCAGGGACAAGTGACCAAAAGCTACTGCTGCCTGTGGACATAGCACCCCAGGAGCTCTGGAGTCCCCACTGGCCATTCTCTCTGACCAGATGTCGCTCCCCCAAATGCCCTCCCTCTCCCAAGGGACTGGGGCACCCATGTCTTCACCTCCTGCGACGCCGGCCTCTGTCGGAACCCCTGGCCTTCCCCTCCTCTCCGCTGTCTGGCTTTCCTGCTGTCCTTGAATGACTGTGGAGAGAGAGCCAATTTTAATAAATCAATCTGCATTTCCATGTGGCTGGTTTTTCGGTGGCAAATTATGACTCTCTCTTCCCCACCAACAAGCACGTTAGCGCATTCCCTAAGGAACGTGTCTCAGGCACAGTTTCTGAAGGCTGAGTGTTCAGGTGGGTGGATTTCTACCAAAGTACAGCATCTACTCACCACTCAGTTATTCATCGGATGTTAAAAACCCCAGAAGGAAGAAAGAAAACGCAGTTATCACTGAGTTTTGCAGACAGCAAGCCCTGGGGCCCCAATCACTGTGATGCCTGCCCTGTGGAGGGATCACTTCTGTTTCGGTTTCTTCTGTGTGCGTCAGGGCAGCCAGGGACTGTCAGACTCCCACCAACACTAGCTCTGGGAAGGGTTTTTAAAGGGAAGCTCTGCCTGGCTGGGTTGATGAATCTTGGCCCAAGTTCAGAAAAAGAGAAGCAAGGAGCATCAACAGGATACTTGAGTGAGTACCTGCTTAAACTGCCACCTGGGCCACTCGTGGTCTGCTTATTCATTTTGTGAGACACGTGTTTACAAGCTTCTCTCAAGAAACTGGGGCAAATCATAAGGTCTCAAACTCGGGGGCCTCCAGATGCCACAAAGTAAGATAAATGAATAAAACGGGAGAATGGATATCACATATCCCACTCAAACATGAGTGGCCTCACTCAGTTCTATCCTAGAGTGGCCAGGAGCGACGTGGAGCAGTGAGACCAGATGGTCCCACAGGCTGTTTCTGAAGAAGCTAAAAATATGCATTTGGTAGGGGTTAATTCTTCTATCCCTAAATGTTAGCAACTTATTCAGATTTTTGCAAAGTGCTGTGCAGGCCAGAGACCAGACATGGTGGTGGCCATGGTGTAGCCTCTGTTCTGAAAGGCAGCAAGGGTCAGGAACGCTGCACCACCCGGCCTCCTGGAGCTAAGGACCCACATCTCTCTGGGCTCAGCCCCCTCCTCTCTCCATTCCTCAGGGCCACAGTGGTCAGGACATGGCTGAGCCACACTGCACCCTCCTTCCAGAAGCCCCTGGCCTGGCCTGGGGGAGATTAGTATCTTGAAATGAGTGGAACTAGAGGGAGGGTCATACCTGCTGACTTCTGGGGTCTGGGAGCAGAAGCGCACGCAGGCCTTGTCGTCTCTCCCCACACACACGCAGCGCAAGTGTTTCTCCTTCGAGGGCTTCCAGCTCCCCGAAATCAGTCCCAAGGACCTCTTGTCCCGGAAGCGTCCTCTGTAGTTGGACAGTCCATAGGGCACAGTCTGTCTGCAAAGCACAGAGTGACATTAGGTGGGCATGCACAGGCCTCCTTGCACAGCTGGACAGGAGGTGGCGAGGGGACATGAGAGCTGGTGTTCATACCCTCCCCCCACAGCTCAGCGTCTTGGGAAGCTCTGGAGTGAGCTATGCACCCCGTTTCCCACGATCCCCAGGAAGAGAGGTGGGACTGAGGGGATGGAAAGACAGGGAGGACCTGGGGGAGACGGTCGCCTCCCCTGAGGGTCTTCAACTAGATAGACTGAAGGAGTCCCGCAGGCCCTGAGGCTCAGACCTGCACCTGCGAGCACATGTGGGATTTCCGATTTTTCCAGACCAAGCCAAGGCAGGCCTAGGATCCTCCAGAGGCAGGTTCTGTTCTTCTGTTCCCCAGCTCGTAAGCTCCTTCTGGGCCTCCACCTCGCTCCATTTGGAAGCTGAGAAATCATTAGAACTGGAGCAACTTTGGGTTTTTCTTCCTGTGCCCAAAGCCCCTGACAAGGACATTGGGTTGACTCACATGCTGGTCCCATTCTATTTTCTTATAAGACCGCCTACCTAACCCAGCAGCTGAGGCCATCCCGGACAACTCTGCCATTGACTGGGCTCAACAGACCTGCAGTTAGCACTAAGAGGAACCTGAAAAACGCAATTACGGTCATGAGAGACGCATCCTGGAAGAGACAAACATCAGAAGGAACACCCTGTGCCCTTGGAGAGGTGTCGCAGCCATCCTCCAATACAGCGAGGATGGAGCTGGCCTTGGAAAAAGTCTTACTACGAAGGGAAGAAAAGTCTGAAACCATTCACCAATTTCGTTTACGGTTGGCGCAGGAAGGAGAATGATGGTGGTGTTTGGGGCAATAAATTTTCCAATCTTGTTCTAATGCTTGTGCATATCCAAACCATCGCTCTCCAGAGCAGAAGGGAGAAGACAGCAGGCAGCTCAGTGCAAGCAAGTTGTTGCGGGGAACCCTAAGCATTTTCTACTTGTTAAGCTTTCCCTTTTCCACTTGAGAAACTGTTTTAGACACTCCATGCTCCACGGCAGACTCTGGCCCCTGCCTTTTACCCTGCTTGCCTCCTGGGCCCGCCCTGTATGAGATAACAGCAGTCTCACACCCCCCCCAGGGACCAGAGGCAAATTAGGCTCCTAAAGTGACCAAGGGACTGTGTCCCACAATCAGCCGATCCAAATTAGCAGGACAGCATCCCTCATTCACATAAGACGCCCTGAATGGGAATCTGGGAGGGAAAATGGGCGGGAATTTAGGCTATATAAGGGGGTCTTTTCCTTTGTTCTGGGAGACACTGATCTAGGAGTCTTTTCTCCCAGTGCTCTCCTTGCTCGCAAGCAATAAAGCGCTGTAACATCAAAAAGAGCCATAACACCAGAAAGAGCTGTCAACTATTAAAAGAGCTATAAAACCAACATTAGTCTTCGATTCCTCTGTGGGAGCGCCTCACAGCACAAGTTAAAAGCACATATTTAATTCTTTTGCGCTATTGCACATGACTTGAGGAGCAGATTACTAATAACTAGAAGAAACTAATGTGGTCAAAAGTACTTTTCCAATAAGTTTTGGTTTTCCTGCCCAGTCCCCAAAGATTAACTACCTTGGTTTCTATGAACCCTGGGGAGTATCACCAATCGTCCATCTCAAAGGGAGCCTGACATCCTCTCTGTGACACATAATACAATCTAATTGAATTTCTTTTCATTTGAAACATACATCATGGAGCCTTTTGGGAGTTGTGGGGCCACGCTGGGGGTGGGGGACCACAGTGACCTGACACTGGGAGTGAACCTCCCTCCTGCCAGCCGGAGACTAGGGCCAAGCAGCCCCTCATCCCAGTTCTGCTCTTGCGTCCCTCTCCCCACTCTCAGGGACCCAGCGCCATGGTGGGCTCCCTCTTGACCAAGGCAGGCAGCTCTGAGTGGCCCACGGTCATGCAACAGAGAACGCAAGCAGGGTCCAGTCCTGCTCTGAGCGGCACTTTTCCTAAAACCCCAGTTCTTCTCAGGAATGGGAAATGGGGTGGAGGGGGCAAGACAATGCAGACACTGTTGTGAGGCGGGATTTGGCCCAAGGTATGTTTTTCCAGTAATAGGGCCACATTAAATCTCTAAGTGTTGACATTAAATCCAGTCCCCCAATTCTTGGTGAAAATTACACACAAGGAGTAACAACGCTCCCATTTTTTCCATCAACAGCGAGACCTGCAATTTTGAAATTGCTGTCAGCTGATTACACACGTGTAGAGCCACTCAACCTGAGCAAAACACTCTAAAGTGTTTTAAGTAAGGAAACAAGGCAAGGGGGTTTGTTAATAGAGACATGCTTAGCAATTCCCGGGCAGCCAAGCACAAAGTGCTAGTATGCAAAGGAGCCCTGGCAATTTCAAAGAATGTTTACAGAGAAGCACAGCCCCCTCCCCTTCCCCACAGCCTTGAGGCATCAAAACCACTTCACCGAACCCTAGGCCTTCAATGTGTGCACTGTGCACTCTGTTGGCTGACCTGGGGAGGCAGGATGTCAGAACCTGATGACCCAGAAGATATTCAAGAGATGACTCAGATCCCAGCAGGGTCTTCCTTCCCCTTACATTTGCAGAGTCTGAAGCAGAAGTTCTAAATGCAGGCCCACCCCTCACAGGTATAAAAATTTAAATCAATCTGAGAAGCTCCTAAATAAGAATCCTATCCCCTTACCCGGACAAATGTGGCTTTGAAACACCATGGAAGTCTTCAATCTAGAACTCTGGGGCTCCCTAGAGTCCCACATTAAAACCTGGCAGCCCAAGTAGATTCAGTCCTTCTCTTCCGCCTGCTCCATCCCACACCAAGAGGGCCTAATTTGCTCCCATGGAGATGCCCCAGTCTGCACCCCTGAGCTCTGTCTACCCCTCATCCTGCAAGAAGCTGCCTCTTGGCCTCCCTGCAGGCTTAGGAATATGTACCTTGAGGCCTGTTCTGTCCCTGAGTGCCAGACTCTAGAAGATACCAGCACAGACCCTGGAAGAGTGCTTGGGGACATCTGAGTAGGGGATTCCAGGACCCTGAATACCTGGAACACAGTCTAAAAGAAGGTGTATATGGCTTTCAATCCCACAGACTCCTTGCATGACCAGAAAGGGTCAGAGGTGGCCCTCTAACTCCCAGGGCCATGGGCAGGGATGTTTCTTACCCAGGCCTAAGAGTGGATTGCCAGCTCCTCAAGAGTAGAAGACAGGTCTTTTACTTCTTTTGTACCTGCCATGAACCTAGCACAAGGCTGGGAAAATAAAGACTATTGATTGAGTAACTGGTAGTTAATTGTGACATAATTCTAGTCTAGCAAGACTGGATTCTTTCCAACCTAAAGAGTTCAGTAACCACAAAAATCATTGCAAAGAATCGCCAGCATTTGTTAAGCATCCACTTCATACCTAGTATTAAGTGTGATGGGGACACATATGTGTGTCTGTGCCTTCAGGAGTTTACATGCTACCAGAGCATGAGAACAGGTAAAGGAAAAGGGGCAAGCCGACGTATGCAGGTATATGCCAGGCACACAGAGTGCAGAGAGAGAGAACCTGGCAATTCTATTATTATATTGGAAAGCGCGTACATAATGATCACTCCACCCTCTCCACGGTTTCCTGACTGACCAAAGGATTGTTGGACAAATCAAATGAGATACTGAGTGGAAAAGACTTAGCAAAGAGTTAGCAGTAAACAAATGGTAGCTATTGTTGCTACTTATTTGGTCACACAGAGAGGGGTAGCACGGAACCAAAGAGCCACGTGGCATATCAATGCTATCCTGTGCCATGCCACCATCATTCAACACTGCCTGTCGAGTAGGCACTTGTATTTCAGTTGAGCTGCTGCCTGTGGTCACTGACTATTTCCTGAATGGTGAACAGAAAACACCTAAAGGTGGAGCCGTGAAAACGAAGTCAAGTTGAGAACCTTTGACCAGCACACTCTGCCCAGCTGTTTTAGCCTACAATAGTATGAGAGGGTTTAGAGAATGCAATTCTTTGCAGAAGTAGACAGCTCTCACATGTTAATGTTTCACTTGTAACACAGAGCTCCGCACAAAAGAGATGCACTTGACATCAATCCCAACACTCTTAGAAAAAATAAAATGCTCTTCAACATACTTACGAATGCAACGTCTAGTGTTGCCCCTCAATTTATGTACTCGGAACATTCATTATCCGATCGGTGATGATGATGTCAGAGTCTTATTTATCATAGTGTTCTTTATTTGTCACACTTTCCCAAATGTCATATATAAATGCTATTAAGTATTAAACTCCCAGACCTCCCATATTCTTTCTTCATCTGCAGCATCTCACCGAAAGCACCTTATTTCTCTCCACAAGAAGTTTTTAAATAAAGAAAGCTGACTTTTTTTTTTAAGATTCTGTTTTTAAGTTCTGTATTGCCTTTTCATAAGTAAATTAACAATCTCCATCTTTCTGATCAGGAAACAGGTTTCTATACCTGAAGTTTGAAGAAGAGATACAAATATTCACTAAGAACAGTTGGGAAACAGAAAAAGGAGCTTCACTGACCAAATTCCAAATTCTCAAGAAAGTTTATCAAACTGTCATTCCCTCTCAGAAACCCAGTTTTCATCCTCCCCATCCCCCATACAGTGTTCAATAAATATTTGCTGAATGCATCTCAATGTGCGGGTACTGGATTGGACTCCGGGTGAACACCATGAGCAGGACAGATAAGCGCCCCGCACACACTCAGTTTTCATCTAGTACAGAGGTTAGCAAATTGCCATTTTGTCAGCTTTGTCCAATCAGTAGTTTTTTGTTAAGTCTGATCATTTTACATAAGGATCCCAATTTCCAGCTTCTCCTGAATAACTAGAAGTTGCGCTAACACCAACCCCATGTTCCAACCCGGCAGCAATCGTCTGAGTAACGATGTCAGAGACTGGGCATAAGCACCCACTTCACCCCAGCCCTTGCCTCTCCCAACAGATTCACACCTGTCCTTCACT